AAAATTCCTGCCTGTTCTGTACCAACGTGAGCTTAAAAACCCATGCTCCAGGCCTGGTACAGTGGCCTAGTGGCTAAAGCCCTTGCCTTGTGTGCACCGGGATCCCCTTTGGCCACCGTTTCGTGTCCTGGCAGCCTTACTTCCTATCCATCTCCCTGCTTGTAGCCTGGGAAAGTAGTCGAGGACGGCCCAAAGCCTTGAGACCCTGCACCTGAATGGGAGATGCGGAAGAGGCTCGAGGCTCCTGGCTCCTGGCTTCGGACAGCTTGGCTCTGGCCATAGCAGCCACTTGGGGAGCAAATCAGCAGATGAAAGATCTTCTGTCTCTCTACTATATATATATATATGACTTCCTAATAAAAATAAATACATCTTAAAAAAACACGCTCAGCTGTGCGGTGTGATGCTTGTTGGAGTGTAACAGGAATTAGCCAAGCTGCTGTTGCCAAGCTTGGCTAAAACATTCCTCCTTACATCCTACCCTTGTGTTGGGCGTGATCTCTCTCACTCTCTGTAACAGGGTAATTTGAACTAAGGTCTGAATTTGAGGGGGAAAGAGTATTTCAAAACATTCATGAAAAACTGAATTAAAAGATAGGCTTATTTTGGTAACAAAAAAAAAATTAAGCCAATGCACATAAGGCAAATTCCAAAGGTTCACTGGAAAATGTATATTGTGTGAAAAATTTTAATTTTTCAAAAAAATTTTTGCGCCAAAAAATTCTTATTCAACATCCCCACAACCCTCACATGTAAAAAAAAAAAAATTGAAGCATTTTATTTTGTCTTTGATATGGAAAAAGTAGGTTGCCAAAACGTTCTACCTCACATGGATATTTAAAAACCTTTTAATAGTTTGCCTTAACTATAAACTTACATATGAATTATTTGCATAGATTGTAGATGTTAGGAGATTCTTGAAAAGGAAAAGATGATTGTTCTACTTTGTTAAATGTTTTGGAAGTTTACTTTGGAAGCTCACTGTTAACTTACTTAGCAGACGGGCTGTCCAGTCCCACAGCTGTTGGCAGCATGTGACAACTGACTCCTGATAACGTAGCCACTCCACACTGAGCAAGCAACGTGCTGCGTGTAGAACACACAACAGGTTTCTAGGCCTTTAGCATAAAACAGCACATACACCGTGCCAGTAATTCTTCCACCTGTTCCATGTTGAAATGAGAATATTTTCAAGATATTGGGTGAAATTAAAGAAATCTTAACAAAATAAATTAACTTCACTCGATGCAACAAATCCAAACTGACCGTGATATGTGGGCACTGTGGTACAGCACGTTAAGCCACCGTTTGGGACTGCTGTATTCCATGTGAGACTATGCTTGAATCACAGCTATTCTAAGCTTTTGATCCAACTTCCTGTTAAGGCCCTTTGCGGGCCGCTGGATGGAGTTCCTGCCCCAGATTTAGCCTGGCAGAGTAATTATGTGCTTTAGTAATTACTTTAGTAATTATGTGAAAAGCAAACCGGCACATAGAAGAGTTCTGTGTCTTTCTCTTCTTTGTCAAACAAATAAATAAATAATATCCTTTAATATGAAATGTGTGTCCTGCGTTGTATTTCTGTTGGGCCGCACTGTTATAAATAATGTATAGGATCGTTTCCAAGGCTCTAGTAGATTCCAGTTGTTAAGTGTGGAAGACAAAAGTAAAACAGTAAATATCCCTAGTGAATCAAAATGACCCTTGTAAATCAGGGCACAGTGAACTGGGGCAAAGGGCAAAGGGTCCACTTGGGACCAAGTTAACAAGCTGAGCAGGACAGATGAAAGCATGGGAGGAAATCACCGAGAGGCCTCTGGGAACTGTTGGCTTACCACTCGCAGAGTTGGTCTTCTTGTGTTACACACGGTATAGGCATTCCAGGTCTACCTATGTACAGCCATAGAAGAAACCCTCCAAATTCAGAGAGGAAGGAATTAAAGAAAAGCGCTGGAGTAGAAGGAATGTGGTGCTGATATGACAGGGATGTGTATCAGCCCTTGCTATGTATGTACTCTCCAATCTGCTTGCTGGAAAAGCCAATCCCCAGTAAAGTGTTGATGGAGGAGGGCCTTGGCAAGGTAACTGGGTTAAATGAGAGGTCCCATGGCGATTCCAACGGCTTTAAAAGAAAGAGAAAACAAGCTAACAAACTTGCTGTCTTGCCACGTGATGCCTTCCTTCATGCTACAAAGCATAGGAAGGCCCTCAAAGGGTGCCACCACCTTGATACTGGGTATTTCAGCATCCAAAATTAGGAACCCAATAAGTTTCCATTCTTTACAAATTACTCAGTCCATGATATCCAGTCAGAGCAACAGAAAACAGATTCAGAACCCTCTTGGACCAGAAAGACTGTCATCTTAGCCCTTTCCCACTGCCTCCTGACTTTTCCAGGCCTGATCAAAGAGGCACCTCTCTCCTCTCCTTCAAGATAACCTCCTCCAAGTGTCCACAGGCAGGCACAGTCTACGTGACACTCTTTGTTATCGTTAGCTGAGTAGTGTTGAGATGTCAGTTCTTGTCTATGGCCATACCACCCTGAACGTGCCTGATCTTGTCTGATCTCGGAGGCTAAGCAGGGTCGGGCCTGGTTAGTACCTGGATGGGAGATGTCAGTTCTCTTCTGCACTTTTGCTTCTCTGTTTTGTCCCTTTCAGCTCTTCCTGTTTTGCTCTCCAGCTCAACCTCAAGGACTAATCCAGGGCATTTTTCCTGCCTCCATTCTGTAATCTGGCAGGCCACACTTTCACAGTCCTACCTATTTCTTCACTGCTCCAGCCACATATTACATGTCTTAATCAATTCACACTTAAGACAATTTTTTTTAAATTAGCTAACAATGTATCATCTAATTATAAAAAAAGACAAAGTAGCAGGTAAATTTATTAGCATATTTTACCAAGGGGAATTACTTCTGTCTATACTTAAGAAGGAAAAGTAAGTGCAACAAGAGGATTATTTTGAACAATACTCAATTCACAATAACTAATAAGAAAGTTGCCAAGCAAGTAGAGTACTTAAATAGGGACACATTTCCTGTAGAAGAATTCTCTACAACTAAAAGTCATGCTTTGAAGACAATGATGAGGCAAACCATATAAATAATTTAGAAGTCACATAATTATAGATAGCAGAATCCAATATCAACAATGTAAAATAAAATACACAAAAAATTTTAATAGTGGATACTTCTGGGTTTTTGGATTACAAGTAATTTAAATTTTTTTTTCTTTACATACAGCCTGTATTTTAAATTATTTACAATGAACATATATATTACTCTTATGATCAGAAAAAATATACATAAACTACTGATTTTCTAGTGTCTGATTTTTACAAGTCTCATTTTAAAAATACCACCCAAAATCTTATCTTTCATGGAAAAAAAAATCATACCACCTGTAAAGATGATATATAATACAGTAGGGTGTTTAATCACATGCCATGACCGTATGTCAGTGAGCTCAATTTTGTGTTGGGTTGTTGGTTTATCTGGTTTAACATGAGAGTGGTTTCTCTACAGAACAACTTCAGAGCATAAAGAGGTTTCCCTGTCCAAAACTCAGAAAACATCAGCCAGATTTATTTAAGGGCATTAAAAGACAACTCCTTATTAGCCCTTTTAAGAAATCAGTAGCATGTTTCAGTGCAGAAGCTCAAAGTAAAACTAGTTCAAACCTCTCTCACAGAAGTAGCTATAAAAACATGAAATTTACTTTGAAGACCACAAAGGAAATCCTCCAGGGTGATCAGACATGACTGCTCTTGAGTCTATTAAAAATTAAAAAATAACAGAAAACTAGCATTCAAATAAAATCACAGCCTGGGCTAAAGAATAGAAAGTAGAGTCACGCTTCATGGAGCAAGCCATTACTCCATCCTGATTCTCTCTGGAAATGTCCTTTGATTTACGCCGAGGTCTGCTCACAATAAGTCAGTATAATCAATTAATTACACTGTGATTCCTAACAGTAGGCACTTCGGCCTCCTCTCCTCTGCCTGGAGCCACTGCAATATACTAAGCTTCACAGTGACTTTTACCTTTGAAAGAGCTCAGCATCACACAATTCAATCATTTTTCTGCAAACATTTATCAAAAGTTTCTTCTGATTTGCCCTTGAAAAGGCACCGGTGAAAAAAAGCCCTTCAGGAGCCAGAGTTTAGAGAGCACCTCAAAAGTCACATCAAATGTAAGTTTCTATGATTGGCTCTCTAATTATATTGTGAATCATATATGCAAATTCTTATTAACAGCATGTGGTAGAAACACTACTTTAAAAAGCAACATTTTCACCTCGACCTCCTTTCACCTCTGTTTTCAACTGTCTTCACTTACTCTTGGAAAAATTTCTTCCAAAAAATGTATTAAAAATATTCCTACTCTTGGGGGCTCGTCCTTAGCAAGTGCCAGGATCCCATACAGGTGCAGGCACATAACTTCTGAACCACTTCCAACTCCAAGCGCATGGTCTGGGAAAGCAATGGAGGGTGGCCTACAGCCTGTGGGTCCTGCAGCCATGTGGGAGACCCAAAAGAAGCTCCTGGCTCCTGGCTGCAGATAGGCTCAGCTCAGGTCTGGCCATTGTGGCCATTTGGGGAGTGAACCAGTGGATGGAAGATCTTTCTGTCTTTCCTTTCTGCAAAATCTGCCTTTCCAATGAAAAAATAAATAAGTCTTTTAAAAAATATTCCTATTCTTATAATTCAAAGTTTTGTACAAAGGCTATTGGATATGGTTAGCATTTCCATGCTTTTATTACAGAGTATGTTACAAAAATTGCAGTGCCTGTAAGTTCTTTAATCAGCAAGAAGAGAAGGGATTCAGGCACTACTCTTCACATTAGTCAGTATTTTACAATCACCTAGACCCATCTCAAAACCTCTGTCATATCCCACAAAGGGCTTTTCTATGAAGTGTGCAGTTGGACAACTTTGAGAGGTGCAAATGGTTAACAGCACAATCATCTCCACACACATGAAGAGGAAAACGCTCAAAACTATTTGTAACTTCTGCTTTTCTTTGAGTAGTAAAAAATCAGAGAAAGAGAAATAATAAAAGCTAACAATAGAAAAGCTAGGAAACCCAGTATAGACTTCCGGGTGTGAAAAAAGCCACACTCAGTGCACACAGTGAGTTGTTCTGGACAAAATCTCCCCTGTGCTTCCGAGCCCGGGAAGCCATTGCTGTCGACAATTTTCCTGTAATGTTTCATGGATGGTTTGGCTTCAAACTGGTTTGCAGCGTAACGATAGAGGCCAAACTTGGGAGCCGAGCGGTCGTTAAATGAGTATGCAAAGTACCCGCGAAGATCAATTCCATCCAATATATAGGCTGGAAAACAAAAGGACAGGGAAGGCGTTACTGAAATACCTTGCACACCACACATCACTTTTATGTAGCCTTGCTGCATCAAGGGAAATCTCGGTATCTTTTAATGAAACTCCAGACTCAATTAGATTTCCTCAGAAAAGGCTTCTTTCATGCAAAGACAAATATTGAATTTCCGTTAGCGGTTGGTTCTACATAATTAAGCCTGCTGTGATTCAGTTAGGTTAACCTATGTGCCCATCACGCAGCTCGCATCATTATGGGGCCAGCAAAAGCTGAAGACCAGAGAGCCTGTGCTTTAATAGGTTCAGAGAAGGTGCTAGAGACTTCTGGCCTGCCACTTTCCTTATCCCTGGGGAAATAAGGAGGAGGAGACTTCAAAACATTTATGGAAAATTGAAACAAAGCCAGGTTTAAGGGGCAGGGGGTTGGCACATCAGTTAAGATGGCCATATTCCATATCTGAGTGACTGGGTTCAAGTGCCAGCTCTGCTGGACGCCAGCTGCCTGCATGTGTGCCCTGAAAGGCTGCGGCAATGGCTAAAGTACCAGGACCCTGGCGACCCACAATGGATACTTGAACGGAGTTCCTGGGTCCTGACTACAGCCCAGCCTGCTTTCCAGCCACTGTGAGCATTTGGGAAGTAAACCCACCAAGAGAAATTTTCTCTTTTTTCTCTTGCTTTCCTCCTTGAGCACGTGTGTGTGTGTGTGTGTGTGTGTGTGTGTGTGTGTGTGTGAAAGAGAGAGAGAGAGAGAGAGATGGAAGGAGAAAGAACTGCCTTTCAAATACATAAACTTTTTTCAAGAAAGGGATATGTTTATCTTGTTGCATACAAGCGTTTCCGTCTATAAGACATATTTTAAAAGTCCATAGAAAACACATATCATAAAACATGAATTTTTAGTTCATTTGCATCAAAATAAACTGATTTCTGAATTCCACTTCCCACAGCGCTTTAAGGCACTTCCGTATGGGGTACCCCTGGGGACTGCTGCGCCGTGGCAAGGCGTGCATCGCTCTCGGGTCCAAGCATGAGCGCACGCCAGCAGGCAGATCCGTATCCTGGTGACCCATCTTCAGGAGTTGGCTGCTTGCTGAGCTCCTTACCTTTGAGCGCTTCATTTACATAGTTGCGAATGTAATACATCCTCAGCTGGTCTTGTTCCACGTGCGGGTCATCATCAATCCCGTTAGCAATGATATACACGGGGAGATCTCCGTACTTGAGCTTCAGCCAGTTCAGTATTTTTCTTAAGCCCCAGGGCACCACAGCCACCTGCCCGGGAGAACTGAGCCATGTGATGTCAGTCATTTCCTGCACTTCCAGGTAGTCGTTATATTTTATTGGATCTTCTTTTTCCCAGTCTACAAGGATGGTGGTGTAATGGCTTACAGCCAAAAAGTCAAAGGAACCCTGGATTAGCTGTTTTTCCTCTTCGGTGAAATACGGGAGAAGAAAATTGTTTCTTTGATTCAGCCATTCTCTCATCACGCTGGGATAATCTCCGGAGCCGAAAATGGGCTCGGCTAGCCAGCCAATGTCAAATTCCAGTACTCTCTCGGCCACCTCCTTGTCCTTCTGGGAGAAGGGGCAGGCGGGCTCTATCCAGTCCGCCTGCAGGGCTATGGATATTCTGCCCTTCTGGGCAGGCCTGAACTTCTCATTGTACTCATGCCAGGCCAGTGCGTGCGCCTTGAGCAGGTGGTGCCCTGCCCTGTAGGTCATGTTGCGCGTGTACGGTTCGTTCATGGTGATCCAGAACTTGACACGGTGGCCCAACTCCTGAAAGCACAGCCGGGCATACTCCGCAAAGGCCAGGGCAGTGTGCGGGTTCTCCCAGGCACCCTGCTTGGCTAAGGGAGGCGGCAAGCCCTGGTAGGGTGCCGCAGGTTGCCATAGGGCCACCACGGGCGTAATGTTGGCACGCACCAGCTCGCTGACCACGCAGCGGTAGTAGCGCAGGACCGTGTGGTTCACCTGAGACTGATTGCCCTGGGGGAGGACGAGGGCCCAGTCCAGGGAGAAGTGAAAATGAGTGACATGTATTTCCTGGAGTAAGGCTATCTGGGGCCTGATGGCAGCGAAGTCCACACAGTATGATTTCCTTTTCCTGGTCATAACCCCGTCCAGCTTAATGAGCTTCTTGCTGTGGTGGACATCCCACAGGTAAACATTGGGGTCTGTGAACTGAGACAAGGTTGTGTCTACCTACGAAATGGAAACGTTAGCTGTACTTTCTCTGCAAAAAGTGATTGGATGCAATAATTTCAAGACATCCCGCCAGCAACAAAAGCAAAAGCTACAACTTTTCTGGTGGTGAATTTTGAACTTCCTAGGTTCCAGAGGAGGCAAGCCTTTTGCTTTTTTTGTTTGTTTGTTTTTGTTTTTGTATGTGTTTTAGGTTTACTCAGAGTTCAAACTCTGAGGCTAGTACTTCGGTGTTAATCATCATCATCATCATCATCATCATCATCATCATCATCATCATCAGAGTTAGGTCTCTCTCAGTGCCCACACTCATGATTCATTCACACCTGGCATGTGGTGCACTAGCAAGGTGTCTAAGATAAGAAGTCACACAAGAATCAAACTTTTAACCTAAGAATTAAAAAATAAAGCAAAACAAAAAAACCACTTGACAAAGGCAAAACATGGAACCCGAGTGGGAGTCGGAAAAGGAATGTTTTGGAATCCAGTGTTGATCCATAAACCGTGAATCACATCCTTGGTGATTTTGCTCTAGGTAGTGAAAGTGCTAAATAAGCTTCTTTCCTGCCTCTCATTGCCTTTGGGGTCAATGACAGGATTTAAACCTTCCATCTGGTTGATGGTGGAAACTACAAGAGGGAGGGGCTGGTAGTGTGGTACAGTTGGTTAACATGCTACATGTGGCCCAGGCATCCCATTCGTGTGGGAGACCCGGGGGGTCCCATCTCCCACCCAACCCTAGCCACTGCAGACAGTGGGAAACTAAACTAGGGAACAAAAACACCTATTCTCTCTCTCAAATAAATGAAAAGTTCATGGAGATGTTTATTATGAAAAAAATGCAAATTTCTAATGTTATTTTGGCACCAAAATAAACTTCTCTTTCAGTCCTGTTTTCCACAAGCATTTTGAAGCCTCATCTGTATCCACTCCCCACATGAAAAACAAGTGTTTAAGAAAAGTGGGCAAACTGTAAGAATGAAAGTTTCGGTCCATCTGAAAGCCAGGCCACCTAAGCCAGCTCTAACTTCTTGCAATAATCAGCCTGATGAGGTTCCTAGGCTTGATTCCCTGGTAAGGCAGAAGTCAGGTATATCTTGGGTTTGAAGCTCCAGCGGTTTTGCTGCCCTTGGTGATGGAGGGCACAGTGGAGTGTTGTAAATACACTGCCATTTCTTTGGAGGAATAAACACTGAGTTTATAAAGGAAGCAAGGAATCAGCGTGTCAGAGGGAAATGGCTTTTCCTAAAGAATGGGGCTGTGTAGCTCACCCACGCATGTACTTCCCCTGGTGCTGTGTGAATGCTGGCATGGATATTTTTCCACCGCGATGCAGGCACAAATCATGTTTCCTCAGCCTTGCAAGAGAAAATATTTACATGCTCTTTCAGAGTAAAAGTGGTAGAGCTTGGAGGGATTTTCTGGATTATTTTTATAGAGCTCTAAATTGATTAAATTCATAACTGTTCGGCCATAATTATTCCAAAACAGCGTTTATTCAGCCTATCACAAAACAAACATTCTGAAAAAGATCGGACATTTAGAATTTGCATGGAGGCACATGCTAGCCAACCTCCATTAATCTGTTGACTTAGTTTTTTACTAAGAGTTGGGCCATTTAGAAGGAATGGGCATGGAGCATGTATTTGGTATGTTTTGGAAAGAACTCTGTCTGAACAAGGACTGATGTTAAAGTTCTATGTGCTCAGTTTGTAGTGCATTCTGTGGCTATCTTCACTATGCACACTAGTGGTTATGAGAAAAGAGCCAGCTGGGAAATTAGTAAAATGGCTCTCTACAGATGAACTCAAGGTCAGACTTGACGCAGAGTGTGTCTTAATGGGACATGAGTCTTAAAGTTGTTAAGATGAAATGCATGCTTCAATCAAGATCATTTCAATGGCTTATGAGTCCTCGGGATTCTGATATACAATGTGCTAGAAGTGTAAAGGGACTACTTGTAACTAAAAACACATACCTTGGCACTGACACAGCCAAGGACTCAGGTTGACTAGCCCATGGGTGAGTGAGCTGGGCGGGGGTTGCTGCCCACAGAATACAATGATTGGTGTGAAGACCTCAAAAAGGAAAGCAGCGGGGCAGCCCATTCCACGCAGAGAACTTGCAGAGGAGTACCTGTCCTCATGGGTCTGAGGACAACTTAATTTTGCCCATCCTGAAGGAAACTGGTGAGTCCTGCCAGCTGAGGGACAAAGACGAGGAGCTAAAAGGTTGGGGAAACCTGACAGAGGAGCTCTGGGCTGCTGAGAGACCATCCCTTGATCAGAACCTCAAACCACTTTGGATGGCAAACACAAACCTCCCATTTGATTCAGTTATATATTTCACTTCCTACCAGTCTCTTTTATTCCTCAAGGGAATAGGACATACTGCTAACACTTTCTCCATAACCATCAATTTCCAACGCAAACACATAGCCCCTCGGTTGGGGAGCGGAGGGTAGCATAATGTTTCTCTCTAGCACTTCCCCCTTACCTCTGTGCTCTGCGTCTGAACAGAGGAGCTGGCCCTGAGATGCCTTACACACTAATGAGGAGCCAGGAGCTACCTGCAGATGCAAGCTGCTCTCAGGAGATACAGAGCAGGAACTCCTCAGGGACAAAAAAAAAAAAAAAAAAAAAGACAGACGAACTTCAGCAGGGAGCCACAGCAGGATCAAGAGATGGAACAAGCACCAGAGACCCTCTGACACTTCCTTAGCCCCTGTGTTACTGTTTGGTCTCTGAATTCATGCAGGACTCTAAACCCCTAACTCCTAACTTCTAACAGGCTGGAAATTGAATCCACCATGGTGCCTAGGAAGTAGACCTACACCAAGGTCCTTAGATCATTATGGATGTGCTCGCCCACAGTAGCTCTCCTAAGAGAGTTTATTAAAAAGCCAGCATTTGGGAATAGCTGCTCTCTGCTTCCCAGCCGAGCTTGTAATCACCTATGATACTTGACCATTGCTATCAGCCACTCATGGGAAGCTGAATTACTGCACCTGGCCAATCTTGGACTGGAACATCTTAAACCGTTGAACTAAATAATGCTTTTCTCTCTGTAAAGTAAGCTGCCTCGGCATTTCACATTATGAATGAAAGGCTGATTCATGCATCTAAAAATCGGAAGGAGGAAAGGATTTCAGGTGGTGTCATTTTCCCTTCCTCCTTTCCTCCTGCTCCTCACCAAGCTCACTTTGCCGCCTCTAGGCCTATGTGAACTGTAGATCCCACCTTGGGAAGCAAAAATTAGGAGAAGGTGGCTCCCCTTAGCCCTGGAAGGAGGTGTTGAGACCAGGCATGGAGCAAGCAGGAAAATCTCACACCGAGCCAAAGAGAGCCAAGCCTTTCTGTTGTGCTTAGAAATATTTGCAAACACATTTTATGCCATCGTTTAAATTGAAGCCCAGGACTGTCTCCAAAACAAACTGCATGCTCTGAAAAAGACACAAGAATAATTCAAAAGAAAAATTATTAAGCGTAACGTTGACTTATGTCCTTAGAAATAAAAGACTTCAATGTGATATTTACTAAAAAAAGATTAAACCATTTCAGCTAGAAAACAGTTCTTTAGATCCAAGCACTCTTCTGAAGCTGTGATTTGCAGAAACAATGAATTGGCTAGAAAAACTCAATATGCTAAATCTCACTTTTTAACTACGAATTCTGAACTTGGTCTCTGTTTTGATCGTTGCTTTCACATCCTGCGTTTACTAGCTTCCCCCACCACCACTGCCACCACTAACGACCATCAACAACAACTACATACTCACTTACCATCATTTTCTGCTTGAAGTGCACATGAGTCTATTGAGAGTCAATTATATATATATATACGTATATATATAATTATATATATAATTTTTGTGTCAAAACACAACTACTTTAAGGGAGGTTGAAAGCTATAAAACAAAAAGTGTTTTCTGTTTATTGGTTTTCTATTGAGCATTCCATGTTTAAGATTTATTTCCCTTTGGGATCTAATTTAAGGTACAAGGTGAAGTCTGGAAGATCTTTTGAAAGAAGGGCATTGTATTCCAAATTTGTGCACTTAGAGTGCTTTTAAGGAAGCTGTGTTTGGCTCAAAGAAAGAAGAGTGTGCCATGACAAGAGCCTAATAAGGAAACACTACTTACTAGTGATAGGGCTTGGTGAGACTGAAGATTGGTTTTGTCAGCTGACTTACTTGAATGTAGTTGTCAACAACTCCCCAAGCAAAGTCACAGGAAAATGTCCCTTCTAGGGGTTGATTTTCAGGTAAAGGAGGGAAGCCATTTTTCTCTATCAGGTTTTGGTAGAACAAGGCTGAAGACTTTGGCAGCAACTTCTTGTCCTGGCTCTGAAAATCAACATAGTAGAGTCCGCGTCTGATGCTGTATCCACGGTGCCACTCAAAACCATCCATGAGGGACCACACTGTGTACCCAATGACATCAACCCCATCCAGCCTGAGAGCTGCAAAGGGAAGACAAAACAAGAGCAGCGTGACCTTCAGTGATTACTCACCTTGTGATGGATGTGAAGGGTTCACAACTTAAAAACATGAATTAAGCTTCATGCTTCTTGCTTAAAATGCCAATGATTTTTCTTATGGACTAAAGGTTATCATCAAATCTAGATAATTCCACTAAAAAAGTATTCACAATAATAAGCTATTTTCCAATTTGTTTTTATTGAAATGTCTTAGCATGGAGATGAGACAGTTCCTTGTTTCCAAAGGGTGCTCTGCAAAACTGAGAGACACCTTTCAATTTCTGTCCTAGGCACTTGACATTGTGCCTTATGCAAAAAAATGAAAATTTTCTTTTAATAGTACTTTTGGGGGTGGATAAAACTCTGTATAGCGCACAACACGATAGTGTGGTGGTTAAAGTCCTCGCCTTGAACACACCAGGATCCCATATGGGCACTGGTTCTAATCCCAGCAGCCCCGCTTCCCATTCCTGCTTGTGGCCTGGGAAAGCTGTCAGCCATTGAGGACAGCCCAAAACCTTGGGATTCTGCACCTACGTGGGAGACCTAGAAGAGCTCCTGGCTCCTGGCTTTGGATTGGCTCAGCTCCAGCTGTTGCAGCCGCTTGGGGAGTGAACCATCGGACAGAAGACCTTCCTCTCTGTCTCTCCTTCTCTCTGCATATCTGCCTTTCCAATAAAAAATAAAACAAATCTTAAAAAGAAAACTCCATATATACAGCAAAACTAATAAACAAGTATTTCTTTATTGGATGTTAATGATATCTGCCTTTATCTGTCTGTCTTAGTTAATTCAATATGATACCTTTCAGTTCTAACAATTTAACTGCAAATTGGTTATTATAGCTGAATAATAGTCCAATATATGTATATGTTTATATATGTATTGTACAATATATACTACATATACCTATAAATACATTTTATTTATACACACATAAATATGCCTATTCATCCAATGATGGATTTTTAGGCTGATTCCATATTTTGACTATTGTGAAAGTGCTCCTATAAATATTGCAGGGGAAAATATGTCTCTTAAATACAATGAATTTATGTCTTTTGAGTGAAGTAAATGCTTTTATTTGAGCAAAACAGTAAGGACACAAAAACATGTACAGAGAACTACGGAGCCTGAGATTTGTTGTATGCTTTAGCTTAAAAAGCTAGACTAGCAACCCTGAATGTAACAATAATATCCAGTTTTCAAGTAAAAAAAAAAATGAGTTCTAAGAATTACGTACGTTTTCTGGGGCCGGGAATAAGTCAGGTGTTACATAACTGTATCCCTCCCTTTTCGAAAATGAATTTCTACATTGTGATTAGAAACTATAAATTTACCTAGTTTCCTAAAGATAATCTTATAGCTTATTTTTCCAGGGGACTTCAACAGGAAATATAAATTTTACCCGAATCCTACCTTTTAACGTTTCCATTATGAACTTTTTGAGGTAATACATATACTTGGCATCATCTCTCTTGGTGGTCCCTGAGACAAACCAGCCATTTTCCACAATAAATATCTGAGGGTGATTGTATTCCAGGTCTATCCAGGAAAGCAACTGCCTCAGGCTGGGAGACTCTAGTTGACGGAACTTCATTTGAGGATCCAACAATTGGAAACTCAAAGTTGGTCCAAAGGAAAGAGCAAAAAAATCAGCTGTTCCTTTGATGAGCTTTTTCTCAGATTCAGTAAAATCAGGCAGAAGAGATGAGAGATTCTTCTTCATGCTCTCAGGATAATCTCCATCAATAAATAGGGGCTTGGCAAACCAGCCTAGGACAAAGTCAAGAGACTTTTGACATTCTTGGATGTTGTGATCAGTCATTCTTCGAGGAGTGATCCAGTGGGAGCTGAGGGCGATAGACACCTGGCCTCCCTGGGTTGGGCGGAAAGAAGCATTGTAGAGATGCCAAATTTTGGCATGAGCCTGTGAAGAGAACAGCCATGGTGGATTTAGTTTTGATCGTTAGGGGGAATGTGATACATATTTTCATCGCCAACTCCACTTTTATCTGTTTTTCATAAAACTTAACCGAAGGACTAAACCCAGAATGTGAAAATCAGCTGGAACCAATAAATGATTTTGGATGTGGATCACCTCACACAGAGTTGCTACCATGATTGGACTTGTTTTGCTTGTTTTTCAGCAGTCACTGGAAAAATATGAATATCTTGTGTTGACTGTACAGTTATTACTCATATTTTGAAAAGTAATGAAATTAGAATTTGTTATACTATCTTACTCCTTAATTGATTTTGGATTATGTAATTTTAATTACTGGGCTCCATAAAAAGAACCAATCCCACATCTGGAATCACACCAGGAATTTCTAAATAGGATTATGTTGTTGTTGTTGTTGTTGCTGTTTTAATCCTAAGAGACTGGAAGTTTTTTAACTGACCCAAATTATTGGAGTCGATTTAATATTTCTTATTCATCTATCATGGCTAAAATTTAAAGACTTGTCCCTGTAATCTTTGTTCATCATAAATATTCAGCACAATAAATTAAAGGGTCAATTCTGATTTGTAAGCCACTTTCCAGAATTCTGTCTGGCATAGGGCTGGCTTCCCACACACTGAGACTTAAAGTTCAAGCTAACAGCAAAAATCAACTAAATAGTCTGCAAAGAGATCATAATCAACCAAGAGTTTCCTTCATCCATGAAGAGCTTAGCTTTTATAAAATCAAAGTAATAGTCCCAGCAAATCTCACTGGCTTCCAGTGTTCTTATTTTCATATGTTTCCTTTTGATTGACAAAGTTTTATTCTCCCCTTACCTGTATTAAGTTTCCATTTACTTTTGAATTCTTTGATTTCATTTTCAGTAATTTCTTACAAATTTGAGTGCTATTTATTGGCTTTTTATTTCCATAACATATAATTTTTGAAAACTCTGTTTTAATTCTCTGGCTAACTATGCATATTCCCTAAAATGATCATTCCAATTTTTATTGCATTCCCTGGTTTGAAGAGGCTCTGTTGCTCAGTGATCCAAGTACCCTTTTCATCTTCTCTAAATACATGTCTCATGGTTCATTTCAGCACAGGCGTCCAAGAATGGCCTCATCACCATTCTTATGAGCATTTCAATGGGATAGGGTAGTTTATGTCTAGCTTTGTATTTTTAGTTTCTTAGTGAATATCTACCATGTCTCATTTCTCTGAATATATCCTTTGCTTGACATGAATAGCTAACTCCAAACTAAGAAAGAAATATGGAATAAGATATTGATCAAAACAATGGTTATCGTCTAAGTGATCCAAGAAGCCAGGGACTTAATTATGCCGCACTGCTGTCAGCTCTGTAAGGCCTGCTGCCCTTGGGTATCTTCCTCACCCCCGCAACCTCCACACTACCCATCCCCAATGAAAGGAAAGCTTGTTACACAGGAAGGTGAGGGAGAAGTCCAGGTTGCTACTCAGGAATAATACGTGGTCATGAACAACTCCTTCCAACCTGGAAGACCTGCAGGTGACTCAGAGGAAGATTAGGGAGGAAATGGGGAATGATCTGGACCACCAAGAAAGGTACACACAGTCAGTGATGCCCCCACCATGTCTCAGTTGTAGACCTGACCTCATTTTTTAAGCTAGGAAGGTAAGTTCAACTTTCCTTCTCACAGGGCTACCATGGATAAAATGAGATCATTCAGGTAAAAATCCTAACATCGAGTTTGGGACAGGAGGATCTTCTCATGGGAATGTTTATTCCTTCTCTCACAGGATGACAGAGCAAAAAGGATAAACATGACAGGTAAAGGAAGCACCGCCTGCTAAGGCAGTCAGTCCATGGCAGCGATGCGATGTAGCGACAAGACCTGGGCTTCACACCCTAATTCCTTCCTGTGACCCTCAGTTGTTCCCCTCCACAAGTGAGGATGGCATCTCTCCTCTGTGAAGTTGCTGTGAAAATTAGAGAATGTGATACATGCAACAATGTCTAAGAAGCAGTTGATTATTTTAGAGAAGGATACATGTGCAGCATTGGAAAACAACCTGCATGTCATTAGGTTTAACAATTCATTCCACTCCAAATCCCTATTGGATGGGCTGTGTGACTATGTTGTACAGCAGCCAGACTTGGCCACCCTGTGCACAGCTCTCAAAAATCCCACCCACCCTCCCACTTCCCTTAGGTGTGTGTCCCTTATCTGGATGCTGTCCAAATCTTACACATAGTCGCTCCCATTATTTGCTGCAGGTAATGACACATCCCTCTCCAATCTAAGATCCCAGTGGACTTACTTCCTCACCCTGGCACACATTCGAGCCTATTGTCTGTGAAACTGATTTGAACTCTGAGTCATCGCCTCCTGATGAGGCAGTTCATTCCACTTGCAGATGGTGGATCTGAGAAATCAAATATTAGGAGGCAGGCTGTGGGAGTTAAGATGTTGCAACAACTGAGAATGATTAATGATTAATGAAACGGTTATGGATGGCCTTTCATTCATTTTAAAAATTTATTCCAGGTATGTTAATCTTACAAGCTTATTGTCTTAAGATAGAGATTGAATAAATCTATTAACAAGGGCTCAAGGAAATAATTAACTGAGCAAGAATGTTCACCTTAACATTATTTCTAGTTGGAAAGCAACTGAAATGTCCAGTATTGAAATACATCTCAACCATATGGGAATATTTTAACACATGGAAGTATTACTATTTGAGCATCATAAATGATGCAAACAAACATACAATTGTTTGCACAAAGTGCTTCTAACATACTAATAGGCTCAGGTTACACAATGGTAAGGAAAGTTTAAGAGCATATGTATTAAGAAAAACATGTGCATAAATCTGGGAGGATTTCTAATTTGCTGAAAGGCCTTTTATGGAAAGATTATGTGCCGTATATTTTTCTTCATTTTACCTATCTACATATTTTTTTTTCATTTCCTACCAATACCATGTATTGCTTTGGCAATTAAGACATTAAAATTCAATAAAAGAAAATGGTTCAGAATAGCAGGGTGGCAGGCTGATTTATTAAAAACTCTCTGATTTAGCTGAGTCACCCATTTGCTCCCAAGCTTGACCTCTGGTCTCTGCTTTATAATCCAAGGCCCAGGGAAACCCTACTGAAGTCCTGCAATTCCTAAACCTGCCACACTTCCATTGATGCAGCTCCCAAAAGGTGTGTTTCCCATTCCACCCACCTTCTCCCACACTTGAAATCTCAGCTCAGCTACCACCACCTCCAGGCAGCCTTCCTGGTATTTTCTTTCTCCCCAGTCCTAGCAGCTAAATGTGTCTTAGGCGTTTTTGCACCTGACCTCTTTCAAAGATCATAATCGTATCTTATTGCATTTACGTGACTGTTTAGATTGTAGGCACTTCAAAGACACTGCCTGGGCCAGTTATTGCTCTACACCCAGACTCTCCCTAAGTATCTGGGACAGATATGGAGGAAAGAAGGCTAGCACTAAAGTCAAAGAGATTGAAATAATGGGTACAGGTGAAACATTTTTGTGGGCTGAAGCAGAAAAACTCATATTAGATACTGGCTTTGTTTTATTTTAGAATCCATGAAGGACAACTTTCAGGCACGTTTTTGAAACAAATTAGTGGGAACCTGATATGGAAGCATCTGAGAATGATATTGCATTGTCTCACAGTGTGTTTATGAGCCAGTTGAGGTATAAGTCATTGCTATTTGATGTTCACCTAGCTTCCTTTCCACCCTTGATGTAGAGTTTGAATGCAATTTCTGCAATATCTAGGAAAACTTGGAGATTATATTTCTTTCTACCAATCAGCTAGTGTCTTTAAATAATGGAAATCAAGGAAAATATTCTTCATTTCTGGCACTTATAAACTTTTTATCTCTAGCTAAATGGTAAGCTCACTGTCACTGTTATCCTGCACAGAATCCAACACAAGATTTCACAACCATGTGGTTTCAGAATTGGAGAATGAAGGGTGACATGAGCAGTGAGACTCACATCCAGTCCAACTTTCCACTCTGGGTTGTATTCCAGATCTGGATGACGGAAAAGAAACTACAGCGATTTGCAGCACTACCATCAACTTGAGAAGGGAAAAAAAAATCAAAGGTGAAGGTTGTGGAAGCAAGTCTATATCCTGGAGAAGAGAAACCTGCCCCAGCAAGACCCAGACATTTATTTGTATGCAGATTTTCTGAGTTTTTAGCTGTTACTGCATGAAACAAGATCCCGGGAGGCTTAGAAAAAGGCTGCTACTCCTCTGACAGCTGAAGGACAAATGTTGTGTAGAGCTGAGAACACTGAAATTCCCAGGATAGAAAGATGGATGAACACTTCAAGCATTTAGCAGAAACTCAGAAAACTACACCTGCAGTATAAAGACAGAACTGAAATAGACTAACTAATAAAAGCAGAGGCAAGCCTGACAAGATCAAGTAAACTCTCTTGCGATGTAATTCTCTGGCACAACAAAAAGCCAGCATTCTTTAAAAGAAGACATGAGTTGGACTCTATAATGTGTGATTCACGTTGTCTAGGATATAATAAAAACTACTAGATGTCTGAAAAGAATGGTAGAATGAAATATTTACTTAATAAAGAAATAAAGAATTCAAAATAGTCAAAGCCAAGATGCCACAGATAGTGGAATTAGCTCAATATTTTAAAATAGCTACTATAAATAAGCTTAAGAATTTCAAGGAAAAGAGATAAAGTGAACAAATGAAAAAAAAATAGCACTTAATTGGAAACTGAAACAAAAAAAACCCTGAAAGTTACAGAGCCAATAAAAACTTCAAAATATTTTAAATGTGATTAATGATATTAATTCAAAGAAAGTTTTAAAATAAGGATACATTTATAATGTAATTTCTAAAAATCCACCAAAATATTAAAGGTATATCCAGAAAGCCAATACCTTAAAAAGTGAACTACTAAAAAATACTTTATTTTTCCAAAAAGAATTAAGAAGAAAGA